ACTCCACTTCTTCACCATTAAAAAATTATTACAGTTCCACATTACATAAACATTTACGCCACCACTCTTACCATCCTAATCCCCACTATATCACACTCCTTCCCTACTATTACTCTTTACGCTGAAGACATTGCCCTCATAAACTCTTCCAAAATCATTCTACAAAGTACAGCGAGAATTAATAAGCCTCTATCCCTGATCCTAAACTGGTGCCTGAAGTGGAAATTCCATTAACGAGACCAAATTGAAAGCAATTTTCTTCTCACTTACCTAGGCGTCGTCTTCAACAGATGCCTAAACTGGCGGCACCACATCACAGCTACCCGTAACAGAGCTATGGGTGCTTACATCGACAATACACACACACTTCCCTGCCTACTCTGTACTACAGGAGAGCAAAGGCGTCAGCTCTTTTGATCCGTTATGCTGACTCCAGCCTTCCACTAAGTTTTCATTTTGATTACCTCTTCTTCCCTTCCACATCCCAACCTTTCCTTTTCAAAATTCTTTACCTTGACACTTCTCCACATACATATATATATAAGATATGTATAATATGTACCACTGTTATGAGTTGCTATCATTGAGTCTACATCCACACTGCATCATCATTCAAAAACAAGAATTACAACACCGTTTGATTTGTTCCAGTTTCCGTACATGAATTTTGGATTACGTTACGCCAACCTAATCAACCAACGCTGTAATGACGAAGTGTTATTAATTCAAAATCCTTTGCAATCATTATGATTGACTTGTTAACAATTGAAAACAATACATTTTTAACATTCTTTAACCATTTCAATAATAACGCAAAAGCTTATTACAAAACAGACAAAAACGGAATTACTATAGTTAACAGATTAAGTTTCATCAACCATCATAACTTCCCAGGAAAAGTTTTAGTAGATATGGGTACAGAATTTTACAACCCTCATCTCAAAGACTTTTGTAAACTTTATCATATCAACTTGCACTTCGCAAGCACAGACAACCCGACTGCTATCAGCCCGCTAGAATCGACGGTACGTTAAAGAAAAAAATAAACATTTTTGAAAGAAATCTACCTTGACGAAACCATTCCAAATTTGATGATACAATCTATCTTCATGTATAATAATTCGAGTCAATCCACTACCAAATTTAGACCCTTTGAAATAATTCACGGAACTTATAAAGATATAACAGACTTACAACTCCCAGAGTTCAACAACCCTAACAATTATATAAACAACAGAATCAAAAAATTATCAGTTTTATACGAAAGAGTCAAAAATACACATTAGACAAATGTAGTGTATTGGCTGTATCTGTGTTATTAATGACATATAAGTGTGTATTTACCTGAAGCAGTTACAATTGAACTGATCATTAAATTGATATTAATTAAATGAAAATAATACTTTTTAAGTTTATCAGGTATATACACAAAGCAGATTAAAGTCTGATCATTAAATTGATAACATGAAACCAGTAATAGTGTTGTCCAGCTGAGTGAAAATAATTCGATATTACGATTATATGAAACATTAAGTTAATACATGTGTTGATTGATAAACAACTGGAGATTTTAATATTTAATTAACACTGCGGATAAAAGTAAACCGATCATGGAAAAAAATTAATAAAGTTAGCAGAGGAAATGGGCCTATTATTAAATGGAAGAGCGAAGGGAGATGAACTGGGACGAGTAACATATGTAGGGGGATAATACATTTACTGGGTCGGTATTAGATTTGGTGCTCATGGTTGATAGGGGATGTGATTCGTTAATGAGATCTATGGAAGTAATTGATAGGGTAGAATCTGATCACTTGCCGGTGGTATTCTCTTTTAACACGTTCGTTGTGCATGGCGATTTTACCGTCATGGCCTTGCGTTTGCCCATGCGCGTGACGGTTTCTACCGTCATTTATAATAGGTAACATGCAGGCATCAGCATTCGGTTAGCGTACGGGCAGGGTTTATGATATATTGTGAGAGTGTATTTTAGGTATCAGTGTAACGGAAAATTGTGTTCGCCGAATTAGTTATGGCGGATAGCGAAGCTGGGCCCTCCGGCGCAAGTAGAAACAAAGGGCTAAAAAACGGTACTATTTTAATACAGCATCAGATGAAAAAGAGTTGGATAGAGCTCTTTTTGAGTCAGATAATGAGGATTTCTTGGATGATGAATTGAGGGCGATGGATTCCGATGATGACTATATTCCGACCACAGTGAGGTGGAGACGTCGGAAGAGGTTGTGGGTGATCCTCATCATACTGAAAACTGTGGAGACTCTGGACAACAACCATTATCTGTCGCGACATCTATCGCACCTGTTGCAGGTGCTAAACGAGCCAAACTAGCGCAACCCCAAGCCTTGTGCTGGTCTGCGGATACGTCCAAGATGCAAAAAATTAACTTTACTAGACATATAGAATTTATTGTTGTGCCAGACGGTAACATACAGTTTCTTTTTTTTTTTTGATTGGGCTATATTTCCAGCTTTGTAATCTTTGCAGATAAAAGCCCGATTGATTTCTTCAATACTTTGGTGGATGAGAATTTTTACAGGTTAATTGCAAAAGAAACCAATAGGTATGCGGAGGAAATTTATCTTGCTTCGTTAAAGTCACCATCGGCGCGAATTACTCGCTGGCGCAAAGTTACCATAGATGAATTGAGCGTTTTCTTTGGCATATTTTTGCATATGGGAACTATAGCTACCAATCAAACAAAATAATTCGAAGTGGTCTGTATTCTGTCGAAACTGCCAGACGCTGATCGCGATTTCGATCTTTTTGGATCTTATCAGCGCGTCACAGGCAGCTCCGACAGAACACTGACTAACCTTTACCTGCTGTCTTAACAGCGCGTTTTAGAAAATACTACAAATGGTTGTTTGGAGCATATGTAATCCTCAAATGTAGCATCGTACTACAGATGACGCTCACTGTGCCATTTGTAGTATTTTCTATAGCTGCCAATCGTCTGCAAGATTATTGGAAGACGTCAAGGCTATTTGGCATTCCTTTCTTTGCAAAATCTATGAGCAGAGATAGATTTCTATTGATAATGAGGTAAACTGTTGCATTTATTTTGTATTCTTTTCTTATAAATGTATCTAGATGCCTTCATTTCGCTCGTAATCCTGGAGAGGACGATCGCCAGCCTGAAGACCGTCTATTTACAATTAAACCCCTAATTGATTATTTGAATAATAAAATGGGAGAGATCTATTACCCTGATAAGAATCTCTCGCTAGACGAGTCGATGATCCTGTGGCGTGGAAGACTGTCATGCTGCAAATGTGGTCCTTCATTCGATGGAAGGGCTCCTTGATGTTGGCCATGCAGTTTACATGGATAGCTATTATAATAGTTACGACCTTGCCACCAAATTGCTGCGTCGCCAAACTTATTGTACTGGTACATTGAGACTCGATCGCAAAAATATTCCAGTTGAGGTGAAAACGCAGAAACTAAAAAAAGGAGAAACTGTGTTTCGATGCAGTGAGGAAGGGGCGTTGATTGGAAAATGGCGGGAATGGTGGGACAAGCGGGACGTCTGTTACATTTCTACAGTGTACAAACGAAACGGTAATATATCGTGACAAGTTGGATCGAGAGAGAGAAAAACCCAAACCGGTTTATCAGTACAATAAATATATGGGGGGTGTTGATAGGCAGGATCAGCTGTTGTCCTACTATCCATGTGAGTGAAAATCCCTCAGGTGGTATAAGAAAGTAGGATTACACATTTTCCAAATGCTGCTAATCAATTCGTATATTCTATTAAAAAAATATACGAAATCCAAAATGTCAATTTATGACTTTAGGTTGAATGTAATTAATAGCTTAGTTCCTGAAAAGCCGTCTCCACCAATGAGCATCAAAGATAAAACACATACCCCACAAAAAAACGCTATAGGGTCTAATGGAAGAGTTCTATCTAGGCGATGTCAGTGGTGCTACAACCAACACAAGAAAAGGAAGGAGACAACCTTTCACTGCGCAGGGTGTGAGAATAAGCCATACTTATGTGTGGGCAATTGTTTTATGCATTATTATAACTATCTATAAACATATGTTAAATTCCAAAAAAAAATTATTTTATCAAAATATATAAATATATTCATCAAAATAAACTTCTAAACCAATATTAGTTTCCCAATTTCAAAGAAATATTTCTCCTTAATACGGACGCACCTTATTATGCAATAGGCGCCGTATTGTCCCAAGGAAAGGTCGGTTCCGATCTTCCCATGGCATATAATTCCATACAAAAACATCCATCATGTTTCAAAGCAGTCGAAAGTAAAAATACTTCTAGAACATTCTAAGATCCAAGGAAAACTTTACAATTTTTTTATACTTTTTAATTATTTCTATATGTATTTTACCAACGAACGCGTATCCTACTCCACTTGGAAACCTAGAAGAAAATCCATCAAGGACCATCTCTTCACTGTGGAAGCAAATCCATCGGAGATAGTCCGCTGTCAATACTACCATCTACAAGGCATCCAGAAAATACTATTGGTAATAGTATGGTAAGTCGTTTTCCTTTCATCTTTTATCCTTTTATATTATGACATACTTGTGATCCTATTTGATTCAATTATTTTGTAAAATTATTTAATGTCGATTAATTCCGACGATTTGGTAAAAATATTAAAAGAAAACCTAAGTCAGTTAGATGTAACTGTAGATTCTTTTAATAAATTAACTACTAGTAATACAAATAATTCAAATAGGGTAAATATCACTGAGGTTACTCAATTAGAAATGAACATGGCAGTAGTATAGCTATAGGGATACTGTGACACTTCGATGGCCTGTCCATCCTCAGTCCCTTACCATGACCTCCAAAGCCACCTTGGAGGTCATTCTTCAGCTGAAGAATGACCTCTAAGACACCTTGAAGGTCATTCTTCAGCTGAAGAAGTTCTTAAGAGCCTCTGGATTGTCCTCATAGTGNAAGCTGCTTCCGAAACGTACATAAAAAATAAAGAAACATAGAACATAGTATTTTTAAATTTTTTAAATATTTTTAGGGACAAAAAGGTAACAGGGAGGGTTAATTCTGTATGAAACGCTCTCTACATTGTATATAAGTATCGCCTGACTGTGAATAAAGAGCACCACCCCTAACGTTTTTATTTTACCGTACGGAAAAAGTAACAGACAGTTTTCCTTTCTAAATCTGCATTGTAATTAGGTAACTGCTTTCGATCATGACTTTCTTATATAATATATAATTAATAATAATATAAACCAACCACGCATCTCTTGCCGTTTTCGAGATCCCAATGCTGTTCATTCTTATCTTAGACACTACGGATGGCGACGACTTAGTTTTTTTTTTATGAAATATCCTGTACATTTTGTAGTAAAATGAAAGACTTTTTTATTTTAAAAATACTATACAAGTTAATATTTCGTTAGTTTAAAGTTGCTTTTTGTTAAAGAGTTATCAAATTATTGGTTTCTATGCAGTAATAATGGTGGCGCATAAGCGGTTCAACCAAATGTCAACTTGAAATCACAAAAAAAGGTCTTTCATTTTAGCAAAAAATATATATTATATTAAACAAAATACTTATATACTGATAAACAATTTACCTATTGGCTGCTCCTTAAACAAAATAAGGTGTCCGATGTAATCTGAATCACATTTTATGAATAATGAAATTGGGTTATTCAGATTTCCAAGATGCATCAATATCTTCTACTACTGATAAACCCCCGGCAATTAGTAGTCCAGAAATTCTACCCATACCGTCAATACAATTTGATTTAGACCGATTCGAGAAATTACAAAATGTTAGAACCTTAAATTTTGAAGACGAAGAAGAATTAATATCAGAACCCGAACCTTTTGGTTCTGGGGACTCCGAATCTGAGTACTTACCTAGTGGTGAATCCCGCAGTAGTTCTATAGTACCGGACACTCCTGAAAATACGCCATTAAGTGATACTGAATGTGCACAACCTTCACAAAGTCTACCCGTTAATCTGTCTGAAAATTATTCTTCAATGGAATCTGACGAGGAAACCGATAATTTTTCCTCAGGTGTAACTAGTTCCACCAATAAAATTAAGACAAAAGAACTTGTTAAAATAAACTGTCCCAAAAAAACATCTAGTGGTAAGAGAATTCGGAATAAAGACCACAGCTGCTATTTTTGTCATAAGTTGCTTCGTAATTTAGCCAGACATTTTGAAAGAATTCATTCTAATGAGACGGAAGTTGCCAGAATATTGAGTATGCCGAAAAATTCCAAGAAACGACGAGAAGCCTTTAATGCTTTGACGCGTAATGGCGATTTTTATCATAATTGTGATGTACTCTTATTAAAAAAAGGAGAACTGATCTTAACTCGCAGACCAACCGAACACGAAAGAAAGTTCCTAAAATATTCTGATTATGGTCCTTGTCCCGAATGTTTAGGTTTTATGATTAAAAGACACATATGGCACCATCTTAAATACTCATGCATCTGCTTGAAAGACAAAAACATTTTAAATTCTGAAAAATCAAGACTACCAGCTAATGAGAGTACCTCGTTGCTAAATGGAATTTATGGGCACAACCTGACTGAAGATTTTCGTTCTAATGTTTTAAACAAATTGCGAAATGATGATATATCTGAAAAGTGTCGCCAAGACGATCTTATTTTACGATTTGGAGCATTTATGTATGAAAAGTATAGCAGCACTCAAGCCGAGCTAATTAGGCAATCTATGCGGCAACTTGGGAGGTTAACAGTAGAGCTTGCTAAGAAAAATACCGATGTACTCAAATTAACCGACGCTCTTACCCCTGATAGATTTGATGATGTTGTCTTAGCGACAAAGTCGCTTTGTATAACATCCAAGGAAATAGCGAAAAGGACTGAGTTTGGAATTCCTTCTTTAGCGTTGAAAATTGGGTATTCAATTAGAAAGTGCATTGGAATTGAAAGAGGTTTATGTTTGCGAAATGGCGACTTAAAGAGAAACGAAATATTGTTAAGTTTCTTGACAATTTTGGATTTGGAGTGGAGCGTGAGAATTTCTTCCAATGCATTAGCCACTTTACAATCTAGAAAATTTAATTCCGTTGACTTACTTCCAGTTACTGGGGATTTAATCAAATTAAGCAAATTTTTAGAATTCATGATTCAAGAAACAAAGAAGAATATGGAAAGAGAAAAGAGTTTTCAAAATTGGAGTAAACTAGCATCACTAACTTTAAGCCGTATAATTCTTTTCAATAAAAGACGTTCAGGAGAAGCTGCAAGGATGAAAATTGAACATTACACGAAGAGAGCATCATGGAAAAGTCAAGGTGTAGCAGAAATGAAAGAATCATTAACAGAATTTGAAATTAAATTAGCAAATGCTCTAACAGTAGTAGAAATAATAGGAAAGAGAGGAAGGAAAGTACCAGTCTTACTTACTAAAGAAATGAAAGAATCTGTCGACTTTCTACTGGCAACTCGCACAGCGGTGGAGGTGCCAGAGGGCAATCCTTTTGTGTTTGCACGGCTAGGTGATTTAAATTCCCATATGAGAGGTCACGATTGTATTAAAAAATGGTGTTGTGAAGCAAACTTGGAGTCGCCAGAAACAATAACAAGCACAAAGTTACGAAAGTACGTAGCTACCGTTTGCCAAGTATTTAACCTCAAAGAAAGCGAGTGTGATTGGCTCGCGCGACATCTGGGCCACGATATAAGGGTCCATCGTGAATTTTATCGCCTCCATGAAAATACAGTTGAGCTAACCAAAGTTAGTAGGTTACTTCTTGCAGTAGATCAAGGGAAAGCACATGCATTTGCTGGAAAATCTTTGGAGGATATTGAAGTAAAAGGTAAAGTAAATTATAATTATTTTTATTGTGAATTCTGTAAGAACGTTGTTTAAAAATACACACAGTATGGGATATTATCATTGGTAAGTTATCCAAGTCAAATATTTTCTTAGATTTACCACCCATAGAAGAGGATCCATTTGATAATGACGACGAAGCTGATGATGGGGAAGATGAAGAAATTATGAAGAAAGGGGAAGAATTATTTGACCCATTCATTGGAAAGGAGAAACAAAAAGGTAGTACGTAAATTTGTTATTCTAATTTTACAGTTATTTTATACGGGTGTTAGTATTATACCATTGCAAGAACATAGCTAAGGGGATTATATCTTTTTTTTCTTAGAAAGTAATAAACGTAAAAGGACAAAGAGAGAAGCGGCTTTGGGTAGAATTCCGTGGAATGATTCAGAAAAGGAAGTATTACTGAACAAATTTAAAATGGAGATAAAAAATGAAATCGTACCGGGAAAGGATATGTGTACCAAAATTAAAGAGGAGCATGACAATTTACTTAGCAATAGATCATGGACCGATATTAAGTTTTTTGTTAAAAATGTTATAACTAGAAATAAGAAAAATAAAAAGTAGACAGTGAAAATTGCAATATTTTTTACTACCTGGATGAAGAGTGCCAACCAATTAATACGAAATGAACATAACCTAACCTAATCGAACAAAATAAAATTTGAATAGACGTTTTTCAGTGTTTCTGTTAGATTAGGTTAGGCTAGGGTTTGGTTATATTTCATTACTTTGTTTTTTTAAACAATGAAGGAAAAATTTTTATCGCTAGAATTTTGAAAAGTTGTAAATAATAAGTTATTTGATACAAAAAAAATATTATTTCTTTATTTGAAATAAAATTAAAATACATGAAAACTGCTATGCAGCAAAGGATAAGGTGACGTTACGGGTGGAGATTGGTTTTTCTCATTTTCAGTTAGCTTTGTGGTGGGTGTAGGTTTTTCTCTCTTAGTAGAGAGACTTTCACTTCTGTTTCACTTTTCAGTGAAAAGTTTAATTAGGGGTGGTTTCTTGAAATACGGTGTTATTGGAATTGGAGTGTTTTTCGAAATAAACATCTTTTTAAATGGGGGTGGTTTTGTGGACTAGGGGGGGGGCTATTTAAATAGGGTCTTTTAGCAATGAGGTCAGGGTGTAACACCCTCTTCCAATAGCGCATATCCGATGTTTGATCCCCGTTTAAATTTTAATTAGTGATGGAACGGAAAATTTACAATTTGAACTATACCCTGACGTCACTGCGAAATTTGAAGTCACGTCTATATCAAAATATCAACTCTATTTGAAATTTCATATATTTCAGTTCATTGATTACTTCGTTGAATATTATTTTAAACAAACTTTAATAAATAAAACTGCAGTGACTACGTGCTGTGCGCTCCTCTCCCCACTCCTTACTTCCCACTTACTTTAAAATTCTCCCCTGATTTGGCACGCGTGCTGTATATATTATTATTACCTACCTTATTAGAGTTGTTAGAGTACGGCCATTAATTAATCTACCGTGTGTTGATAGTAGTGCTATTTACTTTATTAATGGATGTCAAAGCTTAATTATTTAAAAAAAAGACCTAATCCCATCCCCTTTGGATTACCACAAAAACTATAATGATTTATAATATACGACAATAGAATCAGAATCTACGTCTGTTTTCTATGTATATAATTGCGTGTTAATTCTGTATGTATGAATACATACCGCATGTATAAATATCCCCATTGTTTAAATAATTTCGCTAATGTGTTCCACACTTCTAGTACCTTAAACACATTTTCAGGTAAGTGCACTTGATACGGCATCCTTAACACAAATACACAGCAAATACATCTCTTGTGACACCCTAAACACAGTTTCAGATAAACGCATTTACTGCGGCATCCATAACACACAGTGCAAATACATCTCTTGTGGCACCCTAAACACACTTATGGATAAATGCATTTGTTGTGGCAACGGACGCCACATGCTGGTCTCATGCTGGTAATTTTTTCTCCGAAAATACGGTGAGTAAACGAGCGCCGCCTAGCACATTAAATTCGTAATTTTTAGTAGTATGCGTACAGGGGCCGACAACAAAAGTGCCACAGTTGGGTGTGTAGGTTGGGATGCCACAAAAATACGTGGACCTGTATAGGTGTGTGTGTGTNATAGAATACATATAATGTAAAACACATAACGATTTATAGGGACACTCAATTTATAAATTATTAACACTTCTTCCCCCAAACTCTGCTTTGCTTGCTTTCACCATAAGATTACTACCGCACGAACATTGTTTACTTATATTTTTCCGAAAATCACAAATTTTACTTTTTGATATTGAGAGTGGATGGGGTGTTGGCAGAAAGGTTAGGGGGGATGAAATTAACTCCAAATTTTAACCGGACCCTCTATTATACACCAAACTGTGTATTGCATTAGCTGTGGCAACTTGTGTGTGCATTAAACTCAATTGTGGCGTACTCTTTATCTGTAGCAATACACATCTGGAAGCCACAACAAGAGTAGAATAAACAGCATATAAGATTGTTTGATGTGTGCCGCTTTAAATATACCGTGCTACCGGCTTTTACATAAGTTGAACGAAATTGGAGTGGGGTACTTCAGACTATTTCATTATTTTGATGACTAAATCATTTGTAGTTGTATCCAGAACGTGTCAAGTCGTTATATTTACGTTTTCACAGGCAGTTGTACCATTTTTAGCGTAAGTTCGCGTTTTTTAATAGTTTTTATTATAATAATAATATGGGATGTTTAGGAAATGGAAACCAGAAGTAGAAAAATTTTAAACATGTTAAATTTGCCGCGGTATGAAACCACAAAATGCCTTGATAAGGAATATAGGGAGCTGGCAATTAATAGTAAGTAACCATTTGATTGCCTACTTAAATTAACAAAGTATAGAAAAGGGAGTTTGATGTAGAAATAACCCCCCCCATTGGTCTTTCTTTTGACTTCTGAAAATATTTTTTAAATTTTAAAAACGCTATCTTATCTACTTTTCCATAATTTTCAAATATGCTAATAGCAATTTTATAACTTGAAAGATATATAGGCTGTCCAAAAAATTATAACTTTTTATGCAGGGTAGAGAATTCCAATATACGCGACTTATATTGCATTGCATTTTTGGATTCAGTTAATTATTTTACTTAAATTGATGTTTTTTTGTGGTGCAATCGTTGTGAACGATTCTAGATATGCAAGGTTTAACGAGTGCAGAAATATATTGGGTAAATTTTTACAAAATTTATTAGGTATTTTAGACGAATTCATTTCTTCTATGAGACCATAATCGTAAGACACAGTTCAGTATTTAATATTACTATTGATACCTTCTACCTAATAGCCAAATTATTTTACAAAGGAGTTTGTCACTTTTTCGTTAAAAAAACCTTAAAAAATTTAGACTGGGTTATTCTGTTTTCTTGGGAACTATTGTGAAAAAAGAGGTTTGTTATCAAACTGTTCATAACAAAAATGCTTCATCGAAATATTGCGATGAAATCCCATGTTGTCATTTAAAAATTGAGATCTTTTAAAAAAGCTGCTTCCGAAACGTACATAAAAAATAAAGAAACATAGAACATAGTATTTTTAAATTTTTTAAATATTTTTAGGGACAAAAAGGTAACAGGGAGGGTTAATTCTGTATGAAACGCTCTCTACATTGTATATAAGTATCGCCTGACTGTGAATAAAGAGCACCACCCCTAACGTTTTTATTTTACCGTACGGAAAAAGTAACAGACAGTTTTCCTTTCTAAATCTGCATTGTAATTAGGTAACTGCTTTCGATCATGACTTTCTTATATAATATATAATTAATAATAATATAAACCAACCACGCATCTCTTGCCGTTTTCGAGATCCCAATGCTGTTCATTCTTATCTTAGACACTACGGATGGCGACGACTTAGTTTTTTTTTTATGAAATATCCTGTACATTTTGTAGTAAAATGAAAGACTTTTTTATTTTAAAAATACTATACAAGTTAATATTTCGTTAGTTTAAAGTTGCTTTTTGTTAAAGAGTTATCAAATTATTAGTTTCTATGCAGTAATAATGGTAGCGCATAAGCGGTTCAACCAAATGTCAACTTGAAATCACAAAAAAAGGTCTTTCATTTTAGCAAAAAATATATATTATATTAAACAAAATACTTATATACTGATAAACAATTTACCTATTGGCTGCTCCTTAAACAAAATAAGGTGTCCGATGTAATCTGAATCACATTTTATGAATAATGAAATTGGGTTATTCAGATTTCCAAGATGCATCAATATCTTCTACTACTGATAAACCCCCGGCAATTAGTAGTCCAGAAATTCTACCCATACCGTCAATACAATTTGATTTAGACCGATTCGAGAAATTACAAAATGTTAGAACCTTAAATTTTGAAGACGAAGAAGAATTAATATCAGAACCCGAACCTTTTGGTTCTGGGGACTCCGAATCTGAGTACTTACCTAGTGGTGAATCCCGCAGTAGTTCTATAGTACCGGACACTCCTGAAAATACGCCATTAAGTGATACTGAATGTGCACAACCTTCACAAAGTCTACCCGTTAATCTGTCTGAAAATTATTCTTCAATGGAATCTGACGAGGAAACCGATAATTTTTCCTCAGGTGTAACTAGTTCCACCAATAAAATTAAGACAAAAGAACTTGTTAAAATAAACTGTCCCAAAAAAACATCTAGTGGTAAGAGAATTCGGAATAAAGACCACAGCTGCTATTTTTGTCATAAGTTGCTTCGTAATTTAGCCAGACATTTTGAAAGAATTCATTCTAATGAGACGGAAGTTGCCAGAATATTGAGTATGCCGAAAAATTCCAAGAAACGACGAGAAGCCTTTAATGCTTTGACGCGTAATGGCGATTTTTATCATAATTGTGATGTACTCTTATTAAAAAAAGGAGAACTGATCTTAACTCGCAGACCAACCGAACACGAAAGAAAGTTCCTAAAATATTCTGATTATGGTCCTTGTCCCGAATGTTTAGGTTTTATGATTAAAAGACACATATGGCACCATCTTAAATACTCATGCATCTGCTTGAAAGACAAAAACATTTTAAATTCTGAAAAATCAAGACTACCAGCTAATGAGAGTACCTCGTTGCTAAATGGAATTTATGGGCACAACCTGACTGAAGATTTTCGTTCTAATGTTTTAAACAAATTGCGAAATGATGATATATCTGAAAAGTGTCGCCAAGACGATCTTATTTTACGATTTGGAGCATTTATGTATGAAAAGTATAGCAGCACTCAAGCCGAGCTAATTAGGCAATCTATGCGGCAACTTGGGAGGTTAACAGTAGAGCTTGCTAAGAAAAATACCGATGTACTCAAATTAACCGACGCTCTTACCCCTGATAGATTTGATGATGTTGTCTTAGCGACAAAGTCGCTTTGTATAACATCCAAGGAAATAGCGAAAAGGACTGAGTTTGGAATTCCTTCTTTAGCGTTGAAAATTGGGTATTCAATTAGAAAGTGCATTGGAATTGAAAGAGGTTTATGTTTGCGAAATGGCGACTTAAAGAGAAACGAAATATTGTTAAGTTTCTTGACAATTTTGGATTTGGAGTGGAGCGTGAGAATTTCTTCCAATGCATTAGCCACTTTACAATCTAGAAAATTTAATTCCGTTGACTTACTTCCAGTTACTGGGGATTTAATCAAATTAAGCAAATTTTTAGAATTCATGATTCAAGAAACAAAGAAGAATATGGAAAGAGAAAAGAGTTTTCAAAATTGGAGTAAACTAGCATCACTAACTTTAAGCCGTATAATTCTTTTCAATAAAAGACGTTCAGGAGAAGCTGCAAGGATGAAAATTGAACATTACACGAAGAGAGCATCATGGAAAAGTCAAGGTGTAGCAGAAATGAAAGAATCATTAACAGAATTTGAAATTAAATTAGCAAATGCTCTAACAGTAGTAGAAATAATAGGAAAGAGAGGAAGGAAAGTACCAGTCTTACTTACTAAAGAAATGAAAGAATCTGTCGACTTTCTACTGGCAACTCGCACAGCGGTGGAGGTGCCAGAGGGCAATCCTTTTGTGTTTGCACGGCTAGGTGATTTAAATTCCCATATGAGAGGTCACGATTGTATTAAAAAATGGTGTTGTGAAGCAAACTTGGAGTCGCCAGAAACAATAACAAGCACAAAGTTACGAAAGTACGTAGCTACCGTTTGCCAAGTATTTAACCTCAAAGAAAGCGAGTGTGATTGGCTCGCGCGACATCTGGGCCACGATATAAGAGTCCATCGTGAATTTTATCGCCTCCATGAAAATACAGTTGAGCTAACCAAAGTTAGTAGGTTACTTCTTGCAGTAGATCAAGGGAAAGCACATGCATTTGCTGGAAAATCTTTGGAGGATATTGAAGTAAAAGGTAAAGTAAATTATAATTATTTTTATTGTGAATTCTGTAAGAACGTTGTTTAAAAATACACACAGTATGGGATATTATCATTGGTAAGTTATCCAAGTCAAATATTTTCTTAGATTTACCACCCATAGAAGAGGATCCATTTGATAATGACGACGAAGCTGATGATGGGGAAGATGAAGAAATTATGAAGAAAGGGGAAGAATTATTTGACCCATTCATTGGAAAGGAGAAACAAAAAGGTAGTACGTAAATTTGTTATTCTAATTTTACAGTTATTTTATACGGGTGTTAGTATTATACCATTGCAAGAACATAGCTAAGGGGATTATATCTTTTTTTTCTTAGAAAGTAATAAACGTAAAAGGACAAAGAGAGAAGCGGCTTTGGGTAGAATTCCGTGGAATGATTCAGAAAAGGAAGTATTACTGAACAAATTTAAAATGGAGATAAAAAATGAAATCGTACCGGGAAAGGATATGTGTACCAAAATTAAAGAGGAGCATGACAATTTACTTAGCAATAGATCATGGACCGATATTAAGTTTTTTGTTAAAAATGTTATAACTAGAAATAAGAAAAATAAAAAGTAGACAGTGAAAATTGCAATATTTTTTACTACCTGGATGAAGAGTGCCAACCAATTAATACGAAATGAACATAACCTAACCTAATCGAACAAAATAAAATTTGAATAGACGTTTTTCAGTGTTTCTGTTAGATTAGGTTAGGCTAGGGTTTGGTTATATTTCATTACTTTGTTTTTTTAAACAATGAAGGAAAAATTTTTATCGCTAGAATTTTGAAAAGTTGTAAATAATAAGTTATTTGATACAAAAAAAATATTATTTCTTTATTTGAAATAAAATTAAAATACATGAAAACTGCTATGCAGCAAAGGATAAGGTGACGTTACGGGTGGAGATTGGTTTTTCTCATTTTCAGTTAGCTTTGTGGTGGGTGTAGGTTTTTCTCTCTTAGTAGAGAGACTTTCACTTCTGTTTCACTTTTCAGTGAAAAGTTTAATTAGGGGTGGTTTCTTGAAATACGGTGTTATTGGAATTGGAGTGTTTTTCGAAATAAACATCTTTTTAAATGGGGGTGGTTTTGTGGACTAGGGGGGGGGCTATTTAAATAGGGTCTTTTAGCAATGAGGTCAGGGTGTAACACCCTCTTCCAATAGCGCATATCCGATGTTTGATCCCCGTTTAAATTTTAATTAGTGATGGAACGGAAAATTTACAATTTGAACTATACCCTGACGTCACTGCGAAATTTGAAGTCACGTCTATATCAAAATATCAACTCTATTTGAAATTTCATATATTTCAGTTCATTGATTACTTCGTTGAATATTATTTTAAACAAACTTTAATAAATAAAACTGCAGTGACTACGTGCTGTGCGCTCCTCTCCCCACTCCTTACTTCCCACTTACTTTAAAATTCTCCCCTGATTTGGCACGCGTGCTGTATATATTATTATTACCTACCTTATTAGAGTTGTTAGAGTACGGCCATTAATTAATCTACCGTGTGTTGATAGTAGTGCTATTTACTTTATTAATGGATGTCAAAGCTTAATTATTTAAAAAAAAGACCTAATCCCATCCCCTTTGGATTACCACAAAAACTATAATGATTTATAATATACGACAATAGAATCAGAATCTACGTCTGTTTTCTATGTATATAATTGCGTGTTAATTCTGTATGTATGAATACATACCGCATGTATAAATATCCCCATTGTTTAAATAATTTCGCTAATGTGTTCCACACTTCTAGTACCTTAAACACATTTTCAGGTAAGTGCACTTGATACGGCATCCTTAACACAAATACACAGCAAATACATCTCTTGTGACACCCTAAACACAGTTTCAGATAAACGCATTTACTGCGGCATCCATAACACACAGTGCAAATACATCTCTTGTGGCACCCTAAACACACTNCTAGGTGCAAAAGTCATCTGGGGTTGAAAAAAAACTTCTATAAAATACATATAATGTAAAACACATAACGATTTATAGGGACACTCGAATAATAAATTATTAATACCTCTTCCCCCAAACTCTGCTTTGCTTGTTTTCACCATAAGATTACTACCGCATGAACATTGTTTACTTATATTTTTCCGAAAATCACACATTTTAGTTTTTGATATTGAGAGTGGATGGGGTGTTGGCAGAAAGGTTAGGGGGGGGTGGGGTGAAATTAACTCCAAATTTTAACCGGACTCTCTATTATGCACCAAACTGTGTATTGCATTAGCTGTGGCAACTTATGTGTGCATTAAACTCAATTGTAGCGTACACTTTATCTGTAGCAATACACATCTGGAAGCCACAACAAAGGTAGCATAAACAGCATATAAGATTATTTGATGTGTGCCGCTTTAAATATACCGTGCTACCGGCTTTTACATAAGTTGAACGAAATTGGAGTGGGGTACTTCAGACTATTTCATTATTTTGATGACTAAATCATTTGTAGTTGTATCCAGAACGTGTCAAGTCGTTATATTTACGTTTTCACAGGCAGTTGTACCATTTTTAGCGTAAGTTCGCGTTTTTTAATAGTTTTTATTATAATAATAATATGGGATGTTTAGGAAATGGAAACCAGAAGTAGAAAAATTTTAAACATGTTAAATTTGCCGCGGTATGAAACCACAAAATGCCTTGATAAGGAATATAGAGAGCTGGTAATTAATAATAAGTAACCATCTGATTGCCTACATAAATTAACAAAGTACAGAAAAGGGCGTTTGATGTAGAAATAATCCCCCATTAGTCTTTTTTTGACTTCTGAAAATATTTTAAATTTTAAAAACGTTTTCTTATCTACTTTTCCGTAATTTTCAAATATGCTAATAGCAATTTTATAACTTGAAAGATATATAGGCTGTCCAAAAAATTATAACTTTTTATGCAGGGTAGAGAATTCCAAAATACCCGACTTATATTGCATTGCATTGCATTTTTGGTTTCAGTTAATTATTTTACTTAAATTGATGTTTTTTTGTGGTGCAATCGTTGTGAACGATTCTAGATATGCAAGGTTTAACGAGTGCAGAAATATATTGGGTAAATTTTTACAAAATTTATTAGGTGTTTTGGACGAATTCATGAGGCCATAATCGTAAGACACAGTTCAGTATTTAATATTACTATTGATACCTTCTACCTAATAGCCAAATTATTTTACAAAGGAGTTTGTCACTTTTTCGTTAAAAAACCTTAAAAAATTTAGACTGGATTATTCTGTTTTCTCGAGAACTATTGTGAAAAAAGAGATTGTTTGTTATCAAACTGTTCATATCAAAAATACTTCATCGAAATATTGGGATGAAATCCCATATTGTCATTTAAAAATTGAGACCTTTTAAAAAAGCTGCTTCTGAAACGTACATAAAAAATAAAGAAACATAGAACATAGTATTTTTAAATTTTTTAAATATTTTTAGGGACAAAAAGGTAACAGGGAGGGTTAATTCTGTATGAAACGCTCTCTACATTGTATATAAGTATCGCCTGACTGTGAATAAAGAGCACCACCCCTAACGTTTTTATTTTACCGTACGGAAAAAGTAACAGACAGTTTTCCTTTCTAAATCTGCATTGTAATTAGGTAACTGCTTTCGATCATGACTTTCTTATATAATATATAATTAATAATAATATAAACCAACCACGCATCTCTTGCCGTTTTCGAGATCCCAATGCTGTTCATTCTTATCTTAGACACTACGGATGGCGACGACTTAGTTTTTTTTTTATGAAATATCCTGTACATTTTGTAGTAAAATGAAAGACTTTTTTATTTTAAAAATACTATACAAGTTAATATTTCGTTAGTTTAAAGTTGCTTTTTGTTAAAGAGTTATCAAATTATTAGTTTCTATGCAGTAATAATGGTAGCGCATAAGCGGTTCAACCAAATGTCAACTTGAAATCACAAAAAAAGGTCTTTCATTTTAGCAAAAAATATATATTATATTAAACAAAATACTTATATACTGATAAAAAATTTACCTATTGGCTGCTCCTTAAACAAAATAAGGTGTCCGATGTAAACTGGACCACATTTTATGAGTAATGAATTTGGGTTATTCAGATTTCCAAGTTGCATCAATATCTTCATCTACTGATAAACCCCCGGCAATTTTATTAGTCCAGAAATTCTAAACATACCGTCAATACAATTTGATTTAGACCGATTCGAGAAATTGCAAAATGTTAGAACCTTAAATTTTGAAGACGAAGAATAATTAATATCAGAACCCGAACCTTTTGTTTCTGGCGACTCCGAATCTGAGTACTTACCTAGTGGAGAATCCCGCAGTAGTTCCATAGTACCGGACACTCCTGAAAATACGCCATTAAGTGATACTGAATGTGCACAAGCTTCACAAAGTCTACCCGTTAATCATTCTGAAAATTATTCTTCAATGCTGAAAATTTCCAAGAAACGACGAGAAGCCTTTAATGCTTTGACGCGTAATGGCAATTTTTATCATAATTGTGATGTACACTAATTAAAAAAAGGAGAACTGATCTTAACTCGCAAACCAACCGAGCAAGAAAGAAAGTTCCTAAAATATTCTGATTATGGTCCCTGTCTCAAATGTTTAGGCTTTATGATTAAAAGACACATATGACACCATCTTAAATACTCATGCATCTGCTTGAAAGACAAAAACATTTTAAATTCTGAAAAATCAATACTACCAGCTATTGAGAGTATCTCGTTGCTAAATGGAATTTATGGCACAACCTGACTGAATATTTTCGTTCTAATGTTTTAAACAAATTGCGAAATGATGATATATCTGAAAAGTGTCACCAAGAAGATCTTATTTTACGATTTGGAGTATTTTTGTATGAAAAGTATAGCAGCACTCAAGCCGAGCTAATTAGGCAATCTATGCGGCAACTTGGGAGGTTAACAGTAGAGCTTGCTAAGAAGAATACCGATGTACGCAAATTAACCGACGCTCTTACCCCTGAAAGATTTGATGATGTTGGGTATTCAATTAGAAAGTGCATTGGAATTGAAAGAGGTTTATGTTTACGAAATGGCAAGTTAAAGAGAAACGAAATATTGTTGAGTTTCTTGACAATTTTGGATTTGGAGTGGAGCGTGAGAATTTCTTCCAATGCATTAGCCACTTTACAATCTAGAAAATTTAATTCCGTTGACTTACTTCCAGTTACTGGGGATTTAATCAAATTAAGCAAATTTTTAGAATTCATGATTCAAGAAACAAAGAAGGATATGGAAAGAGGAAAGTGTTTTCAAAATTGAAGTAAACTAGCATCACTGACTTCAAGCCGTATAATTCTTTTCAATAAAAGACGTTCAGGAGAAGCTGCAAGGATGAAAATTGAACATTACACGAAGAGAGCATCATGGCAAAGTCAAGGTGTAGCAGAAATGAAAGAATCATTAACGTAATTTGAAATTAAATTAGCAAATGCTTTAAGAGTAGTAGAAATAATAGGAAAGAGAGGAAGGAAAGTACCAGTCTTACTTACTAAAGAAATGAAAGAATCTGTCGACTTTTTACTGGCAACTCGCACAGCGGTGGAGGTGCCAGAGGGCAATCCCTTTGTGTTTGCATGGATAGGTGATTTAAATTCCCATATGAGAGGACACGATTGTATTAAAAAATGGTGTTGTGAAGAAAACTTGGAGTCGCCAGAAACAATAACAAGCACAAAGTTACGAAAGTACGTAGCTACCGTTTGCCA